TCTCCCTCCTTTACACACACACACACACATACCACTGAATTGAATGTCAACAGCTTTCTACTTCAAATAACACACAAGTTTTTACAGTGAATACAGGCAAAGATAGCCTGCTGTTTATGTTCTGAAGTCTTCCCTTGTGGAAATGACATCTATTTTTGCATTTGTATTAATTTTCTCAGTTTACTCATTGATTTCTGTGCATTTATTAAGGAAACTCCTAAAATATGAATCTTTGTAAAAGCATACAGAACTATCACCATCTTTAGGAACATATGAATATTTACTGTTGTTAGATGTGATTATATTATTTATGTAACATTTTAATTATGTACCCCAAGAACATATTTTAGGGGTGCGCATTCCAGTGTATTTGATGTCTGGGAGGTCTGGGAGAGGTGGTTAAAATACTTCACCAAAGGCATCTCTTCATATTTCTCTTTCAGGCTAGACTTCAAACTTCTCTCCCTACTTCTGTTATTTCCCCTTCAAATATTTTCACCATAGTCACCAGCACAACCTATCTTAAACACACCTCACCATTCCTACAACTCTTCAATGACCCTCAAAATACAGTCAAAATCCAAGTTTTCAGGATAGATATGATGTTTTCCAAAATCTTATCCTGTGACTGGTTTTTTTTTTCCCCTGGCCCTTTTACAAAAGATTTTTTTAACTAATTTATTTAATTGAGGTAATATTTGGATACCCCTTCAGGTTTTGCCAACATAGAATATATACCCAAACTTTCTTTTTTTTTGTCTGCTTTTCTCTTTATTTTTTTAGTAGTGGTTTTTTTTTTTTAAATAATAAATTTTATTTTTATATTCCCCCATACAATTGCAAACGCCCCATTCTGACCCCAATCCTTCCCCTCCCGCCCCCCCGCCCCCCAAAAGTGTCTCTGGTTCATAGTTTTTTGTTGATTTTGATTTTCACTTTCTTATATTCATTTTCCTGGTCCCTTATTTAAGTATTCTAGATTCCTGCTATGAGTGAGACCATCCGGTATTTTTCTTTTTCTTTCTGGCTTATTTCACTGAGCATGATCCCTTCCAGCGCCATCCATGTTGCTGCAAATTGCATGTGTTTATCTTTTTTGAATGCTGAGTAATATTCCATGGTATATATGTACCACATCTTCTTGATCCAGTCATCTATTTTTGGGCATTTGGGTTGTTTCTAAAGCTTAGCTATTGTAAACAGTGCTGCTATAAACATAGGGGTGCAGGTGTTCTTTGGAATTGATGTTTCTGTGTCCTTTGGGTAAATACCTAGGAGTGGAATTGCTGGATCATATGGAAGCTCTATGTTTAGTAGGTCCAGAAATCTCCACACAGCTCTCCATAGTGGTTGGACCAGTTTGCACTCCCACCAACAGTGCAGAAGAGTTCCTTTTTCTCCACACCCTCGCCAACATTTGTTGTTGCTAGTTTTTTTAATATGTGCCATTCTCACTGGTGTGAGATGGTATCTCATGGTAGTTTTGATTTGCATTTCCCTGATGACAAGTGATATTGAACATTTTTTCATATGTCTGTTGGCCATTTGCATTTCCTCTTCAGAGAAGTTTCTTTTTAGCTCTTCTGCCCATTTTTTGACTGGATTATTTTCTTTGTTGTTGTTGAGTCTCATCAGCTCTTTGCAGATTTTTGTGATCAGTCCTTTATCATTAGTGTTGGGTGCAAAAATGTTCTCCCAGTTGGTGGGGTTTCTCTTTGTTTTGTTATTGTCTCTTTTGCTGTGCAGAAGCTTTTTAATTTGATGTAGTCCCAGCTGTTTATCTTTGCCTTCACTATCACTGCTTTGGGTGATGTGTCTGTAAAGATGTCTTTGATGTGCAAATCCCGTAGTGTTTTGCCTATATTTCCTTCTATGTATTTTATGGTTTCAGGTCTTATGTCTAGTTCTTTAATCCATTTTGAGTTGATTTTTGTGTATGGTGTGAGGTAATGGTCAAGCTTCATTCTTTTGCATGTAGCGACCCAGTTTTCCCAGCACCATTTATTGAACAAACTTTCTTTGCTCCAATGCATAGTCTTTGCTCCTTTGTCAAAGATTAGTTGACCATAAATCTGTGGGTTTATTTCTGGATTTTCTATTCGATTCCATTGGTCTGTATGTCTGTTCTTGTGCCAATACCATGCAGTTTTGATGATTATGGCTTTGTAGTATAGTTTGAAGTCTGGGAGTGTGATGCCTCCATTTCCTTCTTTTTTTTTCAGTAGAGCTTTGGCTATTTGTATACCCAAACTTTTTAAAACAAGGGCCAACAGCAACAGAGACATTTATATTGTGACTCAATACACACATTAAATAACTAAAGCCATGCCTACTTTTACACCACTCACTATATGATGTTGATATCTATTCTACTTTACTTCATTTTAAATTCTCAGCCCATACTGATTTGAAAAGTGTGAGTCTACATCATGCAAAGCAAAGATAGTCAAGGAAAAGATATATACCTGGGATTACATCAAATGGAAAGCTTCTGTACAGCAAAAGAGACATTAACCAAAAGAGAGAGATACCCCAATGAGAGGGAAAAAATCTTTGTACTCCATTCAACTGATAAGGGACTGATCACAAAGATATATAAAGAACTCACACAACTCAACAAAAACAAAATAAACAATACAGTCAAGAAATGGACAGAAGAACTTAAAAGACATTTCTCCAAAAAGGAAAGGCAAATAGCCAACAGGGATATGAAAAAATGTTCAATATCCCTGATAATCAGGGAAATGCAAATTAAAACCACATTGAGATACCACCTTACACCAGTAAGAATGGCACACATCAAAAAAAAAAGCAACAACAAATGTTGGCGAGGATGTGGTGAAAAGGAACTCTCCTGCATTACTGGTGGGAGTGAAAACTGGTCCAACCACTATGGAAAGCTGTCTGGAGGTTCCTCAGTCTACTAAAAATGGAGCTACCATATGACCCAGCAATTCCACTCCTAGGGATCTACCCAAAGGACACAAAAACATTGATTCAAAAGAACACCTGTGCCCCTATGTTTATTGCAGCACTATTTACGATAGGCAAAACCTGGAAACAACACAAATGCCCAAAAATAGATGACTGGATCAAGATGATGTGGTATATATACACAATGGAATATTATGCAGCAATGAAAAGAGATAAAATGTGCCATTCACAGCAACATGGATGGAGCTAAAAGGAATTATGCTCAGTAAAATAAGCCAGGAGGAAAAAGGACAATACCAGAGTGTTTCACTTATAGCAGGAATATAGGGGAGCCAAATAAGACATCAGTGTAAAAAAATAATAACAGTACAAAACACAACAAAGCAAAAACAGACAATTACAAATCAGAGACATCCTGCAGGGGAGGAGGAGGGAGAGGGATCAGAGGGAGGGAGATGGTGCACGGCTGCACTGGTGAAGGAAACTCTATGAGGACTACACCTGAGGGGGGCGGGGAGAAAGCAAATATTGTTTAAAAATGAACAATGATGTAAAAAAATTAAAAATTTAATTATAAAAAAGAAAGAAAAGTGTGAGTCTAGTGTCAAGGTATCTCTAAGTCTCATTCCTCTACTTCCTATCCACACATGATACTCAAGAAACACCATATTGAGTGAATGAATGAATAAACGAACAAATGACTCTCCAGAGAAATATAATAAAGATGCTGAAATGTTACTATTGTAAAAAAAAAAAACTTAAGGATTTGGAAAGTGGAAAGAAATAAGTCTTTCCAGGTAGAATAAAAGTAAAACTCACAACCTGGCTGTGTCTCAGTTATCTTTAGCCATGTAACAAATCACCCCGAAACCTAATGGCTCCAACAATATGATGTATAATTTCTGATGAATCTGGGTTGGCTAGGTAGCTCCTCTGCTAGTTTGACTCGGCCTCTCTCACAGCACTGGTGGTTCCGCTGAAATAAAAGGGCCAAGACAACTTCTCTCAAATCGTTAACAGTTGGTGCTGACTCTTGGATGGGGTTACCTTGGTTTTTCTCCATCTAGCCCCTCACCCTCCAATAAGGCTGAGTGTCTTCCTACATCCAAGTTTCAGGGAAGCATCCAAGAGGGAAATATCAGAAGATACAAGACCTTTTGAGGGCTGGACTCTGAATTATACATGGTATCAAAGCAGATCACAAGACTAGTGCAGAGTCTGAGAGAGGACACTGCAGTTACACCAGGCTTCTTAGAAATCAACTTATCAGGGGCCCTAGTTCTATTGTCATCGCCTCCTATAAACAGGATCCTTCTCTTTTTCCCTTTATCCTTTCCACTGTGGAATTCTATAGTCTAAGAATCTAAGAATAAAGAGACACAAAGAAATAGAAACACAAGGAAGTTTTTAAAAAAAAAAAATACTACTGGGCCTCCCCTGGTGGAGCAGCGGTTGAGCGCTGGGCTATGAGGCTGCCCGCATCCTCTGTAGTGCCCGTTCATTCCCTGGCTGCCGGCGAGGGTCCCACACAAAAAAATACTACTTTTGAAATCTGGTTTAGCTAGAAAATTTCAGTATTGTATTTTGACACCGTTAAATTGGGAAGTGCATATTTGAACTCAGGTACCGTAACACTTGCAAACTGTTTTTGGTTTATACTGCCTGAGGCAGGACTTAGCCACTGGCACAAAAACTGCTTTGCAAGTATTCCACTCCTGATTTGTCTTTTCTTGTCAGATCTTCACTCAGACTGACCCACCTGATACTGCTATACGTTCACATGGTGATTGAGCTCAATTGTTGTTTTACAACCTGTCTTAGCTTGGACTCCAATAAATACCATCCCCTTAAGTACAGCCATGGAAATTTGTGCACAACCTGATGAAGACTGCCTCACAGCATCTGTTCATTTTCCCTACAGCTATGATAAAAAAGACTAGATTAAGCATTGATCTGTGAAAGCCAAGGACAGGAAATAAAGCAAAATATCTATGTTTACCAAGAGATAGAAGCAGAAATAATGCTCAGCCTTTTAAACTGACTAGAAGAAGGGATAAGACTCTTACCTGCGCATGAAATGGGTGAGAGGCTTCCAGGATCAGAAGGGCATGAGCGAAGTTGTAGTCTGGGGAGTTGAACTTGGGTTCCATGTAGCTAAGGGCTGGTTCCAAGAAAGGAAAGAGTGGAAAAGAAGGTTAAAAAGGTAAGTTGTGACCCAAAACACATCGCAACCTTGTAGGCTTTACAGAATGGAAAGGGAATGATTCCCACCGATCATGAAATAGATCATATCATTACAAACAGTAAAAAAAAAAAAGCAATGTGTAATTTGCCTGATAAAATTCTGACTGTTTTCCATTATGGTTTCTGTAATGAAGAAACTGACTCCATTTTGATGTTTGATTGCAGGCATCTCATTTTTCCTTTATTATCTGGATCATAAATGCATAATGAGTTAATTTATGTTAACTCAGTTCATGACACATTATCATCAATGATTCATGCAAAATTTCTCTCCTGCTTATGTGTGTGTGCATGGGTGTGTGTGAGTGCACGTATGTGTGTATGTGTGTTTTGCATTACTTTATTTTCCCACTCTGGAAACTTTTTTTTTTATTTAATGATGTTTATTTATCAACAACAAGTTATTGATTTACAACACTGAATTTTTTTGAGGGTACAATTCCACACCTTTGTTTTCACACTGTGTCCACCACCAAAACCTCAATAAGTCTCCACCATAGTCCATTGAACTCTCACTCCTTTTCTCCCCCACTCACAGACACCGATTACAGACATCTTTTAAGTCTCAACCTACCACTTTTGTTCTGCCTGCCTATCTGGGCAAATAAATAAGAAAACCCAAATACTTCTTTCTCACTTGTGGGAAGGTTCAAACCATGCAGAGGTCCTCATCCTGGCTCCACCTCCTAAATGCCAGAAAAACTCCAAAAACTCTCATTCCCCTGCACAGTCCAATCATTTTGGATCTGTGGGAGGTTAGTAATAAATCTCATGCACTTTGCATGGATAAGGACCCATCGTGTATCTAAGGAGTGGCTACAAAAACTATGTCCAGGTGCCTTTTAACAATGTAGTACTCTTTCAAAACAATTCAAGGTCTCTGTTTCTTTGTGCCCATTCAAATATGCAGCACTATTAGGTCCAATCATAGAAGATCATAGTCACTAAGATCATCGGAATTTTAAATTGTTTTCTCTATAGCTAAAGGATCGGTATTTCTTACAGTCAGGTGATATACTTGAAGATAACTCCAAATATATGGCAAATGCTAATAGAACAATGTATTAACAAATGTTGCTGCAATGCCAGCAGATTTTTAATAGAAAGTAAATCTGAAAAAAAATGCAATACATATATGCTTCACCTAATGCAGTGATAATTTGAAAAAAAATCCATGTATTCAATAACTGTTTATCAAGTATTTACCACGTACAGTTCATTTTGCTTGTCCCTTTAGGATATAGAAACAGGTTACTATTTTTTTCTTTTTCCTGCAGACCTAGCACAGGCATTTAGACAGGTGCACCTCAGGTGGTTAATTTGCCTAACCAAAGTTGAAATGAATCAGTGAATGATGAAAATGAATTAATTGTCACTTAGCCCATAATGAGTCACTTATGCTCAAGGCCTTCATGGGGCATTAGGCTCTATTCTGAAATGCATTTCATGTACTAGTTATTCCTTCCAGAAAACAAATGGCATTGAAATTTCTAAAAGCTGATAATTCTGAATGATGAATAGCATTTTTCAAATAAAAGCTTTTATAAGGTAACTAACATGATTCTCATAATTGAATATATTCGTCAGTCATACCCAGAGTATTTTATTATTGATGATATATTGAATATTACATTTTGAAAAGTTCCTGGTTCTATGAAAAGAACTGTATTATCACCTTTTAAAATGGGAAATATTTCTTGAATTCTTTCCTAATAATGCCATCTGGAAAAGTGTTATCATTTATAAGCATATTATAAAAAGGAGGTTCTCAATTACTAGAAGAAAAGAGACACAAACAAGCTGAACAAAGGAACAGGAAGAATGCAAGAATTAATAAAAAATTCTAATATATTCACATATACGCTCTTTGGGCAATTTGAGTAGATTTTCTCCTATGAATCCAGTTATTAAAACATAAGCAGGAATGTGAATTACTAAAAGATTATGCTAATTCCAAAATAAAATGTAAGTATAAAAGAGAAGCTTAAATTGCACCACCAGAATGTATGGTGAGAGAAGAGGACTTACTACATAATTTAAAACTGAATTGCTTAAATTAATCAAAAGCATTGGCAAAAATGAATATTGTCAAATTACTAATCATGTTCCATCAGAAGCAACAAAATTCATCAAAACTGACTCAAACCTCAAGGTACCTAGTTAGTACCAATGGGACTGACATGGAGGACTCGTGTAAGAAATGTTATTATCTTTTCTAATGGCAATTCTAATCCTAAACATGGAATAATTGTCACACATTTCATAATAAATCTCTTTCTGATGTGAACACTTTTCTTAAAATCCTTTTGCAAAAGTTTCCATGGCAAAAAAAAAAAAAAAAAAAATGCCTTTAGGGAAAGAGACATTGTTTGAAAAATTATGACTTACAGAAAAATGGGGTGACTTAAAGGAAGTAGAGTGTAAATAAATGTAAATTTCTCTCCCACGTGTAAATGTAATACAGACGAAGTTATATTTCTTCATATCATTTCATATTCCTAAAGCCAATAGTCCCTTTAGAGTAGACTAAGAACCATCTTTAATATGTATAAAGGGACTCAGTCAAATACAAAGAAGGAATTCTGGTCTTGTGCTTTGGCCTTTAGCCAATAGTCAATCCATACACTCAAATTCATAAAATATTCTTTTGACAAATATGCTAAGTGTATGCTATGTACCAGGTTCTGTCCCAGTCCTTCAGAACACAGCTGGAAAACAAAATGACAAAAATCTGCGCCACAGAATACCTTCTCACCTGGATTACTACAGTAACCATTCGTCCTCTTCTCTGCATGTATATTTCAATTTCCTCAAACTGTCAAGCCCCTCTTCTCACCTGAGCGAATTACCTCACCTCCAATCCCTCAAAATAATTGTAAGTTATGAAATATAAGTTCCCTTGGCTTCCTGTCACCAAATCTGCTTCTTCACCCTTCCTCTCCCCCTGCCTGCTAAGAATTCCATCACTTATAACTTCCCAGACTCTATGGCAATTTATTTTCCCTCCTTATCTTGTGCCCTAAAAAATAATCCTCTCTCTCCACTGATCCCTTTCTATGAGTTTTCAGGTTTGCTCTAACCTAAAACCCCTACTCAACACACCAAACTCACATGCACACACACCGATCACACATCACCTGGCGACCACCATATCTTCTCCTATTCAAAGTCAACCATCTTTCAGAAAGTACAAAACTCTCACGTTTTAGTTTTTTTTATTTCACCACTCAACTCATTCCAATACACTCATGGCCCTCTCCACATCATTAAAATTATTTTTGATAGTCATCAATGACTTTTATGCCATAATTCTAATTAACACTTTTCATTTGTCCCCTTACTCAGAAATATTGGATATGTCCTCTGCCTTGAACTGTTCTCTTCCTTTAGTGCAATGCTTACCTGCTTCCCTAGCTCTTTTTGTCTCATCTTCTCTCTAGCTCACCTCACCCCAGTCATGGAGGAGATCTCCTGTTAGTATCATTATTTTATTGCTGTCATCATAATTAGCTTCCTTTACAGGAAGACCTTCTTTGATTTCCCACACTATATCAAATCTTCCCAATATTCTCCCTTGTAATAGCCCAAACTCTTCCTTTGCTAGATTTAACTCAAGTATGATAAGCTGAATATTTCTATAATACCCTACAAAACACCAAGCTCCATGAGGGCAGGGCCCATATTGTCTTGTTCACTCTATAAGGAAATTCAGTGCAGGTCTGGTACATAGTAAGTCCCTAGCAAGTAATGCTATGAATGAATGGATGGATGATTCACACTCTACTAATTTATCTTTTGTCTTAAATATCTTGGAGCACACTTAGTTTATTTCTATAATTGACCTAACCCTCTTAGGTAGTGCCAGAGGAAGTAATTTGTTTCCTTGGATCCTGTAATGAATTAAAATATGTTGCCTAAAAAGATATGTTAATTTCATCTTTACAGATGAAATCAAGTTAGATGATATCATTAAATATACAATATGACATATCTCTATAACAGGGAAAACTGTGTGTGTGTGCATGTGCACACACACACAGACATATTGAGGAGAATATCATATGAAGACACAGGCCTAGTGGGAAAATAGGCAGAAATTGGAGTCATGCTACCACAAGTCAAAGAACTCTGGGATTACCAAAACTGGAAGGATATTCCCTTAGAGACTTCAGAGGAGGCATCATCCTGCGCACACCTATATTCTGGCCTCCAGAACTGTGAAGGGATACATTTCTGGTGTTTTAAGTCAATCAGTTTATAGAATTTTGTGACCATAGTCCCAGAATACTAATACAGATCTTAAAAAAAAGAGAAGCAGCAGCAGCAATTCAGAGGCAGATAAACTGAGAGTTTGGACTTATGGACAGATCGCAGAGTCATCTCTGTCCCTCACTAATCTGTTCTGCCTTTTTGTCCCATTATACATGAGATTCCCATTATTCATTTTACAGCAGGCACCCAGCCTTGCTGATACATGAACCAGGAACCCTCCAGGTTCTGCATCTGGCTCATCAAGCAAATAGGCCTTTCCAGACAAGCACAACCCTGGCAGCTTCATGCATGATCTCCAAACAATGGGTACAGATTAGACTAACTCTAAAAGGCTATTTTCAATAGGAGATTCTGGTCATCATTTGCTCCGTAGCTGAAAAATATATATATGTCCTTATAATGTATTAAACACAGCTGACTATGGAATGACTAATTCAATACTAAACAGCATTCTATCATTCTGCAAGTCAGCAAGCTGTGATAAGTCTAAAAATGCCTAAAAGTCAGTTCAGAGAATGGTTTGTTTTCACCTGAGCTTTTAAAGCATGCAGCAATAATATACATTTATTGAAATGGTGGGAAGTGTTTGTCTTGTCAGCTTTTGTATGCTCAGTGATTACAGAATTGCCAACATTATTATTATTT